TTGTCTCAAGCAGAGCTCGTGACAGAGACTGGCTCAATTGCTCTGCTTGCTCAACTTGGTTAACCTAATGTCTTATTGCTCAACTTTCTCCTAATTATCTACTGTAATTGGAACGGGAGGAGATGATACCAAGATAAATTTCATGTTACCGAACAAACTGACTGCACTACAACCAACTTCAAAAATGTAGAATTTAACTACCTTTATCTGCTAGTAAATGATTCGAGAAAGCTCGTCTCACAATCATGTTGAAAACCATATTGAAATTTGATGCTAAAAATGTAGCATTTAAAGCAATTGTACATGCATTTCGGATATTGAGTTTGCACTAGAAGATCGAGCTGCAGGCTCATGGACTTCGCTAGTGAAGTGCATACCACTAATCATACTGTAATCACTGAATATTGAGAATTATAGTGTGCATATTCAAGTCACACCCATAGCAAACCAGCTTGCAAGGATCGAAACATCTAGTCTAACTAACAATACATAAACTAGGAAGTTTACAATCATCTAGAAATCTTAGAGAAGAGGGGAATAAAAGTTAACCTAAGAACCAACGAGATATATACAATTTAGAGATATAAACGTCGGAGGTTTTATGGCTCATCTCTGTTGGTAGCCCTTCACCTTTGCAATTGAACTTATATGCTCATTCAACTCAAAACGCCAAATCAGCTGTTATCATGGCTAAAATCTACATAATCCCCTCGGCAGCTTAATTCTAAACGAAGTTGGACTTCTCAAACTTTTTGATCGTGAAATATACAGTACCACAACACAATTAAAATGTATTGTCCAATGTCACACGCACCGAGGCTATAATTCCACACAGGCACATAAATAGGAGAATTTGGAGTAAGCCTCCAAGAACTGCAACTGCTCGAACAACTCGAAGCTGTAATTATGAAACAGTTCGGTCATAGTTTATGAAAAAGACAGTGACTTCAATTTTATGCAACAGGGAGATAGGGGAACTAAATAAAAAAGTACGAAGAAATATAAGAGCAATGATCAACCTTTGTTGTGGAGAACTCCAATCCCAGAGCAAAAAGAAGGAAAACTACACCAAACTGAGCCACTGTCTCGACCTAAATGCACAAGGTGCATCAAGATGAAGTGACGAGTAATCTCACATAAGCAGAAAAAAATTGAATTGGTCTTGGTTGAATTAATCACACAAAAAAGCAACTAGAAGTAAATGGACAATGGAACTGTGCTCCAAAAAAAAAAAAAAAA